AGGAACATTCTTTGAATGCAAAATTAATTTGTTTATTTTCTAACTACAGTAGTTAGGCTAGTTTATTAGTTACCAAACTTTAGCTCTGACTTTATGGTTGAGAACAGGTTCAAGAGAAATATTATTAAACCTTCAAATCTGTAGAAAGCAGATAATGAAGTGTATCTTGCTGGCTTTCTGGTGATTGGTGCTAAATACTTGGCTTTGTATTTTTACATTTCTTTCCAGGCATTCACTGAGTTAGGTAGAAATGTATTTCCACAGAATAGTTTTTAAGTTTTTCTAAATGCTGCTTCACATTGTATGCTACTTAAGGTATGTAGCTTTGTATTTTATCTAATTGGCATTGAGTTTTTATGGTTGTTGTTTGATACTTTGTTCAGTACTTTTGCTTTTGAATTTTTAATTTCTTATTTTGACTATGGATTTGCATGCAATTGTAAGAAATAATACCGGGAAATCCCATATATTCTTTAACAGTTTCCTCCAGTGGTAGCATCTTGTAAAATTATAATACAGTATTACAACCCAGATATTGACATTGATATAATCAAAATATGAAGCACTTCTTTTATCACAAGGATCCCTTATTTGCCCTTTATAAACATAAGTACTTATTTCCCTTCCTCCTTCTACCATCCTCATTAGGCTTTGACAAGCATTATTCTTCATTACTATAATTTTGTCATTTCAAGAATGTTATATATGTGTGGAATCATACAGTTCGTAACATTTCAAGATTGCTTTTTTTTGTTTTTGTTTTTGTTTTATTGGAGTCTTGCTATGTTGTCCAGGCTGGTCTCAAGTGATCCTTATGCCTTAGCCTCTGGAGTAATAAGATTGACTTTTCTTTTTTCTTTTTTTTTAGAATTTTTAATATTTATTTTTTAGTTATCGGCGGACACAACATCTTTTTTTGTATGTGGTGCTGAGGATCGAACCCGGGCCGCACGCATGCCAAGCGAGCGCGCTACCGCTTGAGCCACATCCCCAGCCCTAAGATTGACTTTTCATTCAGCATAATTTTCTGGGTATTGATCCAGGTTGTCACTTGTATTAATGGCCTCCCCTCCACCTTTTTAAAAATATTTTTTTTAGTTGTAGATGGACACAATACCTTTATTTTATTTATTTTTATGTAAAGCTGAGGATCGAATCTCACATGTACTAGGCAAGCCCTCTACCCATGAACTACAACCCCATCCCCTCCCGTCCCCTTTTTTATTACTGGGTAGTATTTCATGGTATGGATGTACTATGGTTTGAGTAACTATTCATCCATTGAAGGACATCTAGGTTGTTTCTTGCTTTTGACTCTTATGAATAAAGTTGCTATAAATATCCGTGTCAGTTTTTGTGTAAACGTAAGTTTTCATTTCTCAGATTAATACCCAGGAGTTTGTTTTTTTGGGTCACAATGTTGTTGCATGTTTAGTTTTTTAAGCTAGTTTCTAAACTATAAAACTGTTTTTCAGAGTGACTGCATACATTTTACAGTTCCATTAGTAATATATGAATGATCCAGTTTTACACATCCCCATCAACATTTGGTGATCTCACCTATTTTTTTATTTTAGCTATTGTGACAAGTGTGTAGTGATACCTCATTGTAGTTTGCATCACCCTAATGGCTAATGTTATAGAACAGCTTTCTGTGTGCTTGCTGTTTGCATGTCCCATTCAGTGAAATGTCTTCATGTCTTTTACCCATTTTCTACATGAATTGTTTTTATTTTAACCATAATATTCTAAGTTACTAATCTTTGGTCACCTGTGGTTTGCAAATATTTTCTCTAAGTTTCTTTTCATCCTCTTAGCAAGGTCTTTGTGTGATTCTTGCTAGAGTAGAAATGAGAGATACTTTAGAAGTAGGGAAAAACTGGGACTGATTGTGGAGAAGGAGAGAGGGAGAGAGAAGTGTCTTTTACTGAAACAGCAAAAGCCAAAGCTCAGAAGTCAATCTGCTTCAGTTTGAATCCTGGCTGCGCCCCATAACTGTGATTTCCTGTCTCTAGGCCTCAATTTCCTTATTTGTAAATGAAGAGAATGGTAGAATCAGTCTCCTAGGGCTGTTATGAGGATTGAGTTAAAACAGTCATTTAGGAGAGGACATGGCTCCTTATAAGCACTTATAAGAATTAACTGTTATTATTCTTAACAAAATTAGCAAATTAATAGATTGCTCTCACACACTTAATTTAAAAGTCTATTTCATTGATTTTTATCTTCATTGAGGCTATTAGCACAAAACTAGTTTGTTGAGCTTGGCAATAGAATTCTTATTTTTGTATTATACTGTCTGTATTTTGAAATATCTTATTTTTTATGCCTTTTAATATACTAAGAGGCCCTGATGAGGACATTCAGTCAAACCTTTGTGTTGAACAAGGAGTTATTAACCTAAGTTAATCACTCTATTTTCGCCATTCTGCCAGGACAACTCTTGGTCTGTGTGTTGCCTGTCTCCATTTAAGGTCTATAGTGGTGGCCTTATTTTTGTAGCCACTGTGTGACCCAGTACCCTTCAGGGGCAGTTTTGTACAGATTTGTAAAAGAATAAATGCATAGATTTCATCAGAATAGGAAATTATATGGAAATTTGTATCGACTGTATGCTTGGATTTAGAATTAATCTGTAGTTATTGAGAAATTACCATAATGAGCCAAAAAACACTCAGTGCTTACTACATGCCACATACTGATATAATCATTACATATATGAACTCTTTTAATTCTCTGAATAAATAGGGTTTATTAATATTGCCACTTTACAGATAAGCAAATTGAGGCACAGAGAAACCTGCCTAATATCAACTAATAAGTGGGAGAACCAGCATTTAAACTGCCATACAGCACACAGTCTGGCTTTTAACCACCCTTTGTAATTTTTAAAATTTTTAATCACAGGAGTTTTACAAGGTATTTAGGGTTTTTTTTTTTTTTTTTTTTTTTTTTTGCTGGTACCAGATGTTGAACCCAGGAGCATTTAACCACTGAGCCACATTCCCACCCAGCTCTTTTAATGTTTTTTGAGACAGGGTCTCACTTAGTTGCTTAGGGCCTTGCTAGGTTGCTGGGGCTGGCGTTGAACTTGCAATCTTCCTGCCTCAGCAGCCTCCCAAACCAGTACCACGCCTGGCTATTTATGACATTTTAAAGCCCATCTTGGTTCCTTTATTCATGCAGTAACTTGAGTTTCCTATTCCATTTTATAATTAAGCTTTAACTTATTATTTTAGAGAATATACTTAAAAATTCTTTAGGAAAGAGTAGCTGGGGAAAAAACATGCAGTATTTGCATGCCCATTGTGTATCTTGCACTGTGCCAAATGAATATAGACCTCATTTGAAAGGTTGTTTTCCTACTTTCCACTATAAAGTTGCACCTCTACCAAACTAAGCTACCTATAAATTCCTCCCTAATATTACTTTTTTTTTGTTTTTCTTTCTTTTCAGTGTGTGATGCATAAAAGCATACAGATTACAGGTATATATTTGCTTTAGTCACATTCTTACATTCTGAAGTTCAGTAAGCTGAGGCTTGGTTCAGTTTCCAAAACAACTCTTTCCCAAAAATGGAAGGAACTTTAAGATGTAAATAATTACTATATATGTTACTGGAGTCCTAGGCCAGAGGCCTGACTCTGGGGTCCCAACAAACCATGTCCAACCACTTGCCCCCCCTCCAAAAAAAAACAAAAACAGAAAAGATAATGGTGAAAAGCAAGAAAAGAACTTTAGTCACTACATTGGAAGACAAAGTGAGGTCCAGCATCTCAGCCCTGAGTTTAAATAGAGGAAGAATTGGGGTAGGAAGCAAGAGGTGTGCATAATTAAACAGCATATATATAATTTTTAGTTGTTGTGGTACTGAGAATTGAACTCAGTGTCTCACACATGCTAGGCAGGTACTCCACTACTGACCCACAACCTAATTAAGCAATCTTGATCAGACTATGGTCTAGATGATCATTCTCTCAGTTCTGGTTCTGTGAAGTGACTCTGGAGGAGTTCTTTATTGCCTGAAGGGTGTTAGTTCCACTTTGTTGCTGGGGATGTTTATCAGACCCGTGGTCCATCCAGGAAGGGGCCAAGAAACTTCTAGGTACCTTTCTAAGGGTCTGATGCCATAAAAGCTGGTAGTCCCTGAAAATCTCATCTTAGTCATCAAGGGGGATATGATAGGTTAATTAATTTTAGGACTAATAAGTCTTATTTGGATGAATGCTTCTTAAATGTTTCACATTCCTACATGCAGAGCTGACCAGGAACCTGAAAACAAATATAAAATGAAGGCACAGATGCCAAGTTCTGTCCTGTTTTTAGTTACCCAATAGGCATCAGCAGGTCTAAGTAAAGGGCACTGCTTTTAGCAGAGGCAGCCTTTTTAAGCCCCTGTTGCTCTTACAGGCATCAGAACTGTATTTGTTTATCCTGTCTGAACAGTTGGTTGTAATTGTTAAGTTTTGGATAGATGGTGGTGACGATTTGGAGTTATCTAGACTAAAGAACTTCTATTTCTTTATGCTGTCATTAAAATTGTTCTGATTTAGCCAGGCTTGGACATGCATGCTTGTAATCCCGGTGACTCAGGAGACTGAGGTAGGGGATCTAGACCAACCTCAGTAACTTAGCAAGACACTGTCTCAAAATAAAAACATAAAAAATAAATTTAAAAGGACTGAGGATGTAGCTCGGTACTAGAGCACCCCTGGGTTCAATCCCCACACACAAAAATTGTTCTGACTTTAACAAACAGGTATCTACTGTGGAAAAATATTTAAGCTAATAAAAGTAAAATATACATTATATCCACGTGGGTAAGTTAATTTCAGAGTCTAGAATTTTCTTCAGATACTTTTAAAAAATCTAGGTATTTTTACATATGGCTGAAAAGTTGATCTACAAATGTAGAAAAATTAAGTACAAGTTTTAAATATGTATTTATTTAATAATTCCAGGATTTGAATTTCTTTCTTTCTTTTTTTTTTTTTTTTTAGCTCAGATCGTCTGATAGAAGAAACAATAAGGTAGGAATAATTTTTTTGTTTTACTTTGTTGGTGTTTGTTTGCACATAACATTTAATGAACAGATGAAGTTAACTCTACTAACTAAAGTGAAAGTCAAGTCATCCTCCTTAAAGATGAGAATTTTACTAGATAGTAATGTGTATACTGTGACCTTCCCTTAAAGAGACATTTGAAGCCCAAAACATTTATTTCCATAATTATTGGAATTAGGCTATTTAACATAGGTTATTTTTCCAGTTAATTCATACTTAATATTTTTATTTTCATTTTTAATAGAAAACAATCTTGAACATAATCTGTTTTACCACTTAAATAACCATGGTTTCTGTTACAGCAGGTATAGAAAATCTACTACAGTAATATTTAATATTATCTATAATACCATTGAACTAGTTTCTTGCTTAAATTAAGAAACATTTGTTAGTTTGAATTGATTGTCTTAAGTTTGAAATTTTTATATATTTTATGATAGTAAAAAAGTAATGACTAGATATGGTTTCTATGCTTTAGAATTAAGCAGTGTGTGAAGCACTGCTTTTCAGGAAAAGGTAGAATAAAGTACATGACAACTATAAACATTTTTCTAAATTATTTTTTAGCTGTAGTTGGACACAGTGCCTTTATTTTACTTATTTTTTATGTGGTGCTGAGGATCGAACCCAATGCCTCACATGTACTAGGCAAGCAGTCTACCACTGAGCCACAACCCAGCCCCAACCATAAACATTTGTATTCTTTTTATGGGCTCTGATCCTGCTCTAAAGTGCTTTGCATGCACGTTTTATTTAATCCTCTCAAATAGCCCATGATACAGACACTGTATCCAGAACAAACAAGAAACTAAGTAGTTTGCCCATCATCATATAACTAATAGATAATGTTGAGGATACAAATGTAGAGCAAATGCTGTATATAAACCATTGTTATACTTTCCACCTTGTAGAAAGAATTTAAACTTTGGAGTATGATTTGGTTTGAAACCTAGCCATGCTAATTGATTTCTGTTCTTAGATAAGTTGCTTTAACTTCTTGGAACTTTTGTAAACCAAGAAATCATAAATGAGGTTAAAATAAAAGCAAAAGCAGCTTTTATTTGGGCACAGGGTAGATTTGCAAATTGGTAACACAGGTTCAATTAGAAACCAAACAAGTGTTCCATCAAAGGAAAAGAGGACTGGATTTTTAAAGGAAAAACAAAGAAATAATGTTCAAGCTTAACTTGTTTTGAACTTTTGTTGTTTTTTATACGGTTCTGCATATGGAACCTAGGACCTTGCACATGCTAAGCAAGTACTCTACTACCTAATCTGAACAGGGTTTTCATGAAATTATCTACTTGTCAACTGAAATATTTTCTTTATAACTCCTTCCCTTTCTCAGCACATGATGTGCATGTATTAATAGATGCACAAAGGAAAGATATGTCAGATCCATTCTGCTGTCTTTCCTATTTCCATTCCCCCTCTCTTCCCTTCATTCACCTTTTTTTTTTTTAAGAGAGAGAGAGAGAGAGAATTTTAATATTTATTTTTTAGTTTTCGGCGGACATATCATCTTTGTTTGTATGTGGTGCTGAGGATTGAACCCGGGCCGCACGCATGCCAGGCGAGCGCGCTACCGCTTGAGCCACATCCCCAGCCCCCTTCATTCACCTTTGTCTGACCACATTTTGCCCAGATTTCTGTACTTAAAGTTTCCCTGTATTTATTTTCCTTTTTTTCTTCCTTTTATTTCTCTTTCTGCCTGATCTTCTAGGACAGGGGTACCTTAAATAAGTTTTTAGCTACACTCTAGCCCCTGAACAATTTTTTCATCAACCCTATTAATTACATAAATTGTTTTTATTATTTATTTATTTTTAGTTGTAGATGAACACAATACCTTTATTTTATTTATTTATTTTTATGTGATGCTGAGGATTGAACCTAGTGCCTCACATGTGCTAGGCAAGCACTCTACCACTGAGCTACAACCCCAGCACACATAATTGTTTTGAATGAATTGTTTGGTGCTGAGGGTTTGTTCATACACTGAAGTATTAGTTAGCTGTTGGGGCCTGTTATAAAGGGGTTAGCTGGCAAGTCAGCAGAAGTCCCAGGATTGGAAACTATTCTTTCCAAATAGCATTCTGTATCTGGAAGTTAAAGAAAGAATAACTTCTTGTTTCTGACACAAATTACAGCCTGACAAGAGGCCAGAGAAGTTTTACTCTCTTGACCAAACTGGCCATTTAAATTTTTATTTCCATTTATTTTGTTATCTGTTTAAAATCAAAGATTGATATAATACCTGCCCTGAGAGATTGGTATAAAGATTAATAATATGAGAAAAATGCCTTGTACTGTGCCTGGCTGTAGGTAATCTACAAGTGGTACCTGTGTTAAATACTAATCTTTTTTTTACCTATTATTTTGATATCATTTCAAATTTCAGGAAAGTTCCAGAATACAGCAGATTTCATATACCATTTACCAACATTCCCCAGACATTAACATTTTCCCAAATTCTCTTTTACAGTTTATTTTCTAAGTTGCAGGCATGATGCCTCTTTATTCCTAAATATTTCAATATTCATTTCTTAAGTATTATATCAATAGGGACTCGTGAATTCTTACTTTTTATGTTACTATCATTATTTAATAATATTAATACATTATCATCTCTTATTATAATATGCTTTAATCATATTCTTGAAGTTTTATATAAATTGTATGCACTGTGTCTTCAATCTGAACAGAGTTTTCACAAAATTACCTACTTGTCAACTGAAATATTTCTCTTGTAACACCTTCTCTTTTATCAGCATATGAAGTCTGACTGCATTTTACCCAGATTTCTTTACTTAAAATTTCCCTGTATTTCTTTTCCTTTTTTCTTCCTTTTTTTCTCTCTTTCTTTCTGCCTGATCTTCTAGGACAGGGGTACCTTAATTAAGTTTTTAGTTTAGAGCTGGCCTATTTAAGGGTTGGTAACATGAGTATAAAAATTTGGAGTTCCTCAATGGATAGGAACACTTGAGAACCATTGAATCCCTGCTACTATTAGTTTTATAGTTAAAACAATGCTACTTCATCTTTCATTTTAATATTATCTGTTATTTTAAAATATGATAGTTATCACTGAATATAAAGTTAGTTATGATTACATGTAGGTAATATAAAATTTAAGTTCAAGTAATTATTTTTGTACAGTCCATATGTCAAAATTTACCTTTTCTTTTTGGAGATACATATTTAAACTGTTGTACAACTGAATATAGATATTGTCATTGATTTATTAAAAAGAACTAACATTTTAAAATTCATAAATTTATCTTTGAATTTATAACTAGTATTATTTATTATTGAAAAATTATTAACTGAATTTAGTTCACAGAACAAGTGAGAATGTTGAAGTTCCAGTAAGGACATCAATGATTTATTATTTTAAAAGCATTATATATTATTTTGGAGCTTATATTTCACCTCTTAAGTATTTGACCCTTGATATAATAGCCTAGATTTCACTCAACTCCAAATTATGGAATGAGATGGGAAAGTATGTCTACATATACTTTATGTGATACTGGAAGTCATGCATATTCTACAAGGTAATCACTTAATATATGATGATAATATTCATTCTCCAAGGAATGCAAAGTGCTTTGTGGAAATTATTTTTTAATTTCTATCCACTTGCAAGTCAAAGTGCATGGGAGATAGTGATAGTCCCAATTTCAATAATAGATATATGATTCAGAGGTTGACCTAAGAATACTCAATATAGGTTTGAAGGCCCTTACTGTAATTTCAAACAGATTTTTTGCAGTTTTCATTTTAGCTTCTTTCATTTTTTTCCTGATCATCTGTGCTTGCTTTATTTTCTTTTTTTCCCCCTTTTGATACCAGGGATTGAACCCAGAGGAGCTTTACCATTTAGCCACATTCCCAGCCGTTTTTATTTTTATTTTTTAAACAACATTAATACTTATTAATGTATTTTATTTTATTTTTCGAGAGAGAGAGAGAATTTTTTAAATATTTATTTTTCAGTTTTCGGCAGACACAACATCTTTGTTTGTATGTGGTGCTGAGGATCGAACCCGGGCCGCACGCATGCCAGTCGAGCCCACTACCGCTTGAGCCACATCCGTTTTTATTTTTTGAGACAGGATCTCGCTAAGTTACTCAGGGCTTCGCTAAGTTGCTGAGGCTGGCAACAGCAAGCTACTAAGCAACTCAGTGAGACCCTGTCTCAAAATAAAATACAAAATAGGGCTGGGGATGTGGCTCAGTGATTTGAGTGCCCCTGAGTTCAATCCCTGGTACCAAAACAATAAAAATAAAATGCTGAGGCTGGTCTTTAACTTGTCATCCTCCTGTCTCAGCCTCCCAGGTTGCTGGGATACAAGCATTCACCACTGTGCCTGGCTCATCAGTGCTTTCAAAAGTGTTCTCTGATATCTCTCCTATGAACCTAGCCTTCATTGTCTTTTTGGATAGTGCCACACGGTGGCTTGGATTTCTGGAATCTTCATGAAACTTTGCATGACTTTCATCACTTCTCTGCTCTTCTTAGGGGGACTGGCACTTACAGAACCATCAGCTGGTTCTTCATCCCTATGAATACTGAGTCTGAATGCACTTTGCATTCATAGAGCTTGCTCACAGCCTTGACAGGATCATTTCCTTGGCCAGAATCCTGGAGATGTCTTTCTGGTTCATCTCAGCAGCATCTTTCACAGATTGTTTCACTTTGGGGGGGTTTTTTGGATACCAGGGATTGAACTCGGGGGCACTCAACTACTGAACCACATCCCCAGCCCTATTTTGTATTTTATTTAGAGACAGGGTCTCACTGAGTTGCTTAGTGCCTCTCCGTCGTTGCTGAGGCAGGCTTTGAACTCTCAATCTTCCTGCCTCAGCCTCCTGAGCCGCTGGGATTAGAGGTAATGCACCCCTGCGCCTGGCTTCACTCTCCCCATCATCCCCCTATATATCTCTCTTATTTGCCTGTTACTAATTCTCATTTCCTTTCTTTTCTTCAATGACCATTTACTGACCAACATTTTGGGAGGCTTCTGCTGGTTTTTTGTTCCCTGAGGTCACTGGCTTTGATGGGATGTTTTAGTGTGTTTGTTGGGTTTTTTTACTATTCTAAAATACTTCAGTAAATCTCTTTACACAGTTTTGTTTGTTTTTTGCCTTCTCTAATCTTGAAATTAAAGTTTTGGTTCATATGTCATTTGTGTAGAGTACTCCCTCTAGTATCTCACTTTAATAAGATACCTGGTAGACTGGTGTGGTAGCACATACCTGTAATCCCAGCGACTCAAGAGGCTGAGGATTATGGCTCAGTAATAGAGCACTTGCCTAACATGTTTGAGGCACTGTGTTCGATCCTCATCACCTCATTAAAAAAAAATAATAATAAGTAAATAAGGTATTGTGTCCATCTACAACTAAAAAATAAAATAAAAATAAAAAAGCCTGGGGATATTGCTCAGTGGTTAAACTCCCCTGGGTTCAATCCCTGGTACAGAAAAGAAAAAAAAAAAGACACCTGGTAGTCTATTCTCTGAGGTTTCACTTGGTTCCACTGCCTAAAAATGTGTTCATCAGCTCTTGGATAGACCAGGCCATTAGAGACCTAAGCAGTGGCATCCAGCTGGTGATGGAAGGCTTAGCAGTATATCCCTTAGGACTGAGCATCTCACCAGCTGTTAGGCTGTATGCTGTCTGCTTATAAGTCTGTCTCTGTGGATAGCACTGCTTTCCCAACTACAGGAACTAGGAGCAATTCAGTCCATCCCTGCAGCCCCTGTATGTGCAGAACCGTAGTCTTTACTGTCTAGGTTCCTTAAGAAGCAAAGAAACCTGAGTCTTTGTACAAGGATCGAAGAAAAATCTAGGTTTCCCTGCCATTGCTTCCTTAGTTCTCTCCTCACTTGAGAAAGTATCGCCCTCCACCTGGCTTTCTGCCCTGGAGATCTCAAGGCAACTTGGGGCCCGAGATGGACTCTTCCTAGCATGTCTGCTTTTGTTTTAGTGTATTTCATGGAGGAAGATGGGTAGGAGATGGGATCAGGAATGTGTACTCTGCCATCTTCCCAGAATCTCAGTCTTTGTTCTTTTTTACTTTCTGTTTTTTAATGTTTCGGATATTTTCAGAATTGCTTCACAGTATTCCATTTCCTATAGCTTTTGATAATGTCAATATCTAAAGCATTCACCTGTGTATTACATATCGAAATGGATACCCACCTTGCCCTCTAGAATTCTAATGTGCATGCATATAAGACAGAAAAGTAATCCTGGAAGTGCTAGCGAAAAAATATTAACTTTGATTTTTTTTTTTTTTTTTTTGTACTAGGAATTGAACTCAGGGTAGTCAACCACTGAGCTCCATCCCCAGGCCACTTTGTATTTTTTTTTTAGAGACAGGGTCTCACTGAGTTGCTTAGCACCTTGCTTTTGCTTGAGGCTGGCTTTGAACTCTTGATCTTCCTGTTTCAGCCTCCTGAGTTGCTGGGATCACAGGCATGCACCACCACACCCAGCTTAACTCGGATTCTTTTAAATAGTACATCAAAGTAGTCACGTGGAAGAGATACAATTTACAAAGAGTGGCTTTTGCCCTTCTTTCAGTCATAGTCAATCTGTGACCTTTGTCAGCTGGTGTGAAACCCAGCATAATGTTGCTTGTATGTCCCAAAGTCTGCCTAGTGTTTCTCAAGTAGAATTTGGAAATAATTTGTGCATAACTTGAGGGCTGGTTGTATATAAATATGTGCTTTGAGTTCTATTTTATGGTCGTAATTCTCTGCTTCCCTCTCAACAGTTTTTCCTGATTAAGAATATTTTAGCAGTTGGATCCATTCAAAACTATTTTAAGAAGCTTTATGTGATTTGTTAATATCTTACTTCATTTGTTACTTTGAAGAAATGACTTGCTGCCTTACACAAAAAGACATCATTGGATTGCAGTGGGGTCATTCAGCAAAAGGACAATGGAAAGTGGTTTGGGGAAGTGCTTTTCCCACTTGCTGCTTTGAGTGATGATGTTGTTCACCAAAGTTTCCCATTCACTGTTAGGGGTGTGATGAATCTATGCACAGTAACATTAAACGCCAATTTAATTGTTTCTTTTTTCCCTCCTTAAAGCATTGCTATGGCAACGAAAGAAAATATGACTTCACAGAGAGGAATGTTAAAGTCAATTCACAGCAAAATGAACACTTTGGCCAGTATCCTTTTTGAAAGTTTGAACTCTGCTTTGTGAGGTGGACGGAAGAGTATACCTATTCTTTTTTTTTTGCAGGTGGGCAGTGGGAGGTAACTGACATCAATAGAGCCTCTCAGTAATTACATAGGACAAATACTTTCTAATTTGTGAAAGTTCATGCTGAAAGTATCACCTGGGTTTAGTGCTAGTAAATTTAGGGGGAAAAAAACCTGAATTTTAAAATTGTTCACAAAATTATCTTTACATTTAAATGTACTGAATCTATGGTAGGACTCCATAATATACACTATTATTATCTAAACATCATAAATTATATTTTTTTAATCCAGTTTGGAGAATGAGTCAGTGTTAGATGCTTAGAAGAAGATAGCCATATACTCAGATGAGTTGTAACTGCTGATAGAAGTGTTGTGACTCTGCATGCACAAGTTGAATTCCAGGATAAGTGCCCAACTTATTTATTGTGACCTCTACTTCTTAAATTATTCAGTTTCCCAATTTAAATTCAGATTGTTAATTATACTTCCAAGAAGCCCAGTAGGGAAACTGAGAAGCCTACCACTTAGAAGCGCTTTACTTACTCTCAGAGAAGACAAGCCTTAGGGAAAAAAATCTTTCTTTTCCAAAAATTGTGGAGAAGACCTGTAATTTTCAAAGGTTGAGTATATTCTAGTCCTAGATAATTCAAGGTCACTTCTACCTATTTAAGATCATGAATACTTATTTGCTTAAGGAAAAGGATATCTTAGAGTTTATTGTTACTTTCCAATCTTCATTGGATTTTTTTCTTGTTACCCTAGCATAAACTGCACATTCAAAATTGTTTATTATTTATATGATGCTATATACTGTTACATGCATTATTTTATTTTATCATCAGCATAAAAGAGAAAATGCAGAAATTATTATTGTTTTGCAAATGAAGAATTAGGCTTAGAAAAGTAGCTTGGCTCAGGTCTACAGTTAGTAAAGAACAAATTAGAGATTCAAATTTTAAGTTCCCATTGCATTTTCCGTGAAATCCTGGTGTCCTTTTTTGGGGGGGTTGGGGGGTACTAGAGATTGAACCCAGGGGCATTTTACAATAGAGCCATATCCCCAGCCCTTATTTTTTATATTGAGACCAGGTATCACTAAGTTACTTAGGGCCTTGCTAAGTTACCAAGGCTGGCCTCGAGCTTCAGATCTTCCTATGTCCACTTCTTGAGTTGCTGGGATTATAGGCATGAGCTACCACACTCAGCCCTAGTGTCCTTCTTAAACGATGAACTTGGTTGTCAATAAGTAAGTTTGTTTTGGTGAAACCACTGAAACTTTTAAATGGAAGTGGAGGTTGGATAGTTGGATTACTTGTAATACTCACTAAAACCTGTCTAAATTGTCCATTAGAATTTGTCCCCATTGTTCTTCATGCCTTCTTCTCTAGTCTGAATGTCTTTTTTCTCTATTGGACCCTAAGTTCTCTTAAGACAATAAAGTATCCCACAGCCCAGAATAGTGTCTGGTACAGATGAGCAACCCAGGAATTTTATACTTCATTCTAGAATAGCAAAAAACAATCAAACAAAATGGCGTGAGTTGTCAGGACACCGTAGAGTAGCAACAGAAACCTAATTCAGACTGACTTAAAGAGAAAAGAGGGGAATTAACTATAAATTATTAACTATAAATTCCAGAGATAGAGTTTGGTTTCAGACATGCTGGATTCACAAGCTCAGATTTTATTTTCTCTCTTTTTTTTACCTTCCCTTCTCCTCTCATAACTCAGCCTTCTTCTGTTAATATGCCAGGATTTTTTGTAGTTGGGTTTATTTAAGTCCTCCTTAGCCTCCTAATATAATGGATAAAATTACTCTCAGGCAGGCATTTCCCTATGATGATAGAGATGACTCTTAACACCAAATCAAAAGATTGGGGAAAATAATGTCCTTTCTAACAGCTGTCACAAAAGTCCCAATGAGGACTGTGGTTGCCCCAGCTTGAATTACTGCCCTTTCCTAACCCAGTCATTGGCCAAGGGAAGGGATTGTCTTACCAATTCTGAGTTTGTATGCACTCCTCTGACTTTTGTTGTTTTTGGTGGTGGTACCAGGGATTGAACTCAGGGGCATTTGACCACTGAGCCCCTTCTCCAGCCCTATTTTGTATTTTATTTAGAGACAGGATCTCACTGAGTTGCTTAGCGCCTCGCTATTGCTGAGGCTGGCTTTGAACCCATGATCCTCCTCCCTCACAGCCTCCTGAGCTGCTGGGATTACAGGTGTGTGCCACTGCACCCAACATTATATGTACTCTTGATGGCAGAGGGCAGGGTCAGCCCCACCTTATTACATGCACTGAACTAGATTATTATGGGAAAGAGGGGTGATTTCTAAAGGTAAACTGGGAAAAACTATGTCTACTATAGATAGTTTCCTGAAATCAAAAATTTACCATAATCTCAATGGATTTGTTTATCATTATTTAACTAAAAAAAAAAAAATTAAGCATTTTTCTCTCTGAAATTTTTTACCTTGTAAAAAAGATTTTATGACTTCAGTACATGTTTCCTTTTATACATCTTTAAAACCATTTCTTCCAATTGTATTTTTTCTTTAATTCAAAAATACATTAATGCCTATAGTATACACTGAAGAAATTTCAGGATTAGAAGACATGATCATATAGCATGTAGACTATATATGTACACAAATGTAATCCATGATCAGAGTCATTTTGTTACAGAAAAACACAGTAAAGACTCTCAAGGAGCGGGGATTATTCCAGATCTCTAGTATCCTTGGTGGGTTGTGTCATTGGTTTTCCTGAACTTGATATAATACCTCTGATAAACAAAGAGGATTCCTCTGTATTGTCAGAAACCATTGCCAGAAATACAAAACAGTTTGGGCGCTTTGGTCAACAACATACAAACAAGTAAGAGTATGACGATAAGTTGAAATACTAAGTAAAATATAATTATAACTATTATAAAACCCCCCAAATTGAAAATTTCTCATCTTTCTTAATGTTCTCTAAATAGACAAGAGCATTTTAACCCATTTTCTGCCTATATTGCTGTAAAGTAAATTTTAAATTTTAAATAATTTACCAATACCTAATTATATAGACCCCAAGATTGGCTTCAATCAGCTGCTTGAATGCAAGAATAGTTATTTCTCTATGGAGAAAGGATCAGGTTTTCTTCAAAATCCACAGGCAGAACTTCCCAGTCTCCTGAAAGAAGACAGCGGGGTGCAACAGGAGAGAGAAAAAGTGGGGAGTGGGATGAGGGAGGGGAGGTGGTAGCTCCTCCATACTAGCTCCCACCCTGACCTGAAGCTTGGCAGTAATCCCATTGTATACGAGAACAGTCATCATTATTTTCTTTTTCTATTATTTTTTTTCTTTTTATTATTCTCATTTGTATGTTAGATATAAGACTGGCAGTACTGTACTCCCCCGACCTTTTGTTATTGTTGTTGGTACCAGGGATTGAACTCCAGGGCACTCGACCACTGAGCCACTTCCCCACTCCTATTTTCTATTTTATTTAGAGACAGGGTCTCACTGAGGTGCTTAGCGCCTTTATTTCAGTTTTGGAATATGTGTTTGCTAAAGACTCCCTGAGTATGATTCCCCCTTGTTTCCTCTCATCATTTCTTCTTTCTGGACTCCACTCATGGCTATTCTTTTAATTCCTGTGACTTTTCAGCAAAGAGACTTCTTTCAAATATGACCTTAATAAAGATTTCCCAAAGATCGTTTTCCTGCTGTGAACAGCCTGATCCAGAGGATTAATCTTAGGAAGCGGCGAGACTCCCTCATCCTAGGTGGTGTGATTGGTGTCTGCACCATCCTATTGCTGCTGTATGCTTTCCATTGATGGACATCTCCATGGACTCTTGACAACCACCACTTTCACGCCCTGATCTGGAATAAGGAAAAGTAGGAAGAAGTTGACCATCCTGACAATTAATCTGACCACCAGATGAATTCAAACTAATAGTATGGCTCTGTGACATGGTCAGGTCGTACTAAAGCCACAGATTTTTCTGTGCTATCTTTTCTAACACACATTTCCCCATTTTTTAGTTTAAAAAAAAAAAAAGAAGGGGAGATTTAGTTGCTTTTGTCTCCCTACGAGGTAAGTAAACCAATCAAAAACAGAACTTCCATGCTTCAAGTGACAGTGCTGAATCCTGAGGACAAGCCAGATCTTACGGCTGGATTCTTCAAAATGCCAGGTTTCTCTGCGTCCAAAGACTGCTTTTCTTTCAGCCACCTGATTAGGTTGTGAATAAAAATAATTCTTGTTCTTCTATCTAACACTCAAGATGAGAAATCACAAGTCTTTCCTTGATAATCTGGGCTATAGATTCCTATCTCTGTCCCCAGTTTTTTTTTTATATATATTCAAGGAAAACTCCATTTTTTCACAGACTCTTTTGAGATGCTGATAAGCCAACAACAGCATGTTTGAGGTTGTCTGAAATGGAGAACACAGCAAAAAAGCTTTTGTGTTTTCTTTTTTAAAATTCTGAGTACACTGACTATATTGCTGGAAAAACATTGAGAATGACAGACCTTTTTTTTTTTTTTTAAGTAAATTGCTTTACTTTTTTGGGTTTTTTTCTTCCACTACAAGATAATGAAATCTACAACTACTACTATAAAATAATGAAACCTTAATTCTACCATGATGAAAGAGAGAAACTAATAGCCAATGTCTGTAACACCCCCAATTTTTCCCTATTATGTCAGCATTAACACTGGTAACTGGAGGCAGGGGCACTGCTCAATTTTCAGTGAGATTTATTCGACAAACAAAATACAAAAAGACATTCAGAAGTCACTATCCAGATAATCCTTTTGTAAATGCTCCACAACTTAGGAGCAAAAGTTTAACAACTACTGCCTGATGTGTCAGGAATTCTGTGTTCTGTGAAAATCTATTCATTCCAAATCTCTTAAGCTTTTCCAGACATCCAGAGAATGATTTCACTGTCAAAGGTGCCTGTGACAGAATCTGTCTAACTGCACCTATCTTCTATTACCATCCCTGGACAGTGACAGAAATGTAAACTACTCACCAGAATTCTTTCCCAGATTAACCATTTCTCAGTTTCTGTAAATTCATTACGTATCTTACTGAACTACCAGGTAGTTTAAAGACTTCTAACATCTACACTCCTTACCGAGAGAAGGCTGCTGCTCTTCCCCATTGAAATTTACCATGATGTTTATATCATCTTCAGACTGTGCCACAGGGAAGGAGGACATTAGCTTGTCATTCTTCGCTATGGTGTGTATATGCTGCTGTTCAGGTGGACTTGATGAACTGCCTCATGGGTAGACTTAACATCGGACTGGCTGAGAGATTTATCATTCTGGTGTCAAAGTTTTATTACATTCTGGGTATGAAGGGCATTTGATATATTTTTCTTAACTATGGGGTTTATTTTTATAAATATGGGTTGACTGATCAGTTCATTGACTGGGGATGCCCTCAAAAGAAAGTTAAGTTTTCCCATTGTGAACCTAAAGGATCGGGGAAGTAAGTTCATTTGTTAAACTCTCTTTTGGGAAAACAAAACTTCTCTCCCCTGAAACTATTATCTTTGATTTTTCAAAGGGCCTTGATTGGTGGTTGTGCCTCAGTTAGAATTTGTGGGACCTTGGTTGCTATATAGTTGGCATTTATAAAATCTGAAGTATCATAAATAAAGTTATTTATTTAATTATGCTACCAGTCTTTTTTACTGGTCTGATTACTTGGTTCATTCATTAAAGTTGATTGTGTGAGAGTAAAAGTAAGACACAGCTAATCTAGCTTGCTGCAGCTGATGGCTGAGGAGCCTTTCCAGGACGGTTGTGCTTATACGAAGTAAAAGAATTATGTCGATTATTTTCTTTATGAAAATAAAGAAACTAGTTCTTCCAAGGAAGTTGAAAAAGTTTGGTGTAGATGTTGGTGTCAGATGGGTCTGACTAACCTCCCAGTGCTGTCACCCATAGTGAGGTGCCCCAGGTAGCTAGGAGAGTGAGTACATGGATAGAAGAGTGCTCTTGCCTTCCCCTTCAGTTCCTGCCTTCGTTTGCAGAAAGGAAATGGAGATGTGTTTCTTGTAGAAAGGATCTTAATTTGGATCCTGAAACTGCTGATTTGAATTTCAGTCTTAAGCCATTTAAACTTTTCTTTCTTTTTTTTTTTTTTAAGTCATCTTGCTTTTCTCCCCCTTTTCGCTGTCTTCCTTACAGGGCAGTTGCTAGAGTCAGGAGCCAACAGCTAGTTACTTATTAAAGCCAGTCAAGCCCAGGTGAGGTCAGAAGGAATTTCCTATTTCCGGTCCCAGTGAAATGTTGCCTCGTAGTAAAGTTTTGCCCCTTTGGCCATTGTCTTGTATAAGTCTTTCCATTTTGGATCTTTTTACTAACCGTTCAAAACTTCATTTCATTAAAAAATGTGAAAAACAATAGCAACAAAAAGGCAAAAATGTTCAGTGTATTTTTCTTTTATTTCTTTTCTTTCCTTTTTTAAAAAGATGGGGTTTTGCTAAGTTCCCCAGACTTGTCTCATACTTGCAGTCCTCCTGCCTTGGCCTCCTGAGAAATTGGAATTATAAGCATATGCCACTGTGCCTGGTTCAGAATGGCATATTTCTTAAGATTTTTTTTTAATGTATATTGATGACCTTAGTGAAAATATTTAACTTATTGTTCAAGTTCAAGCTCAGATACCCAAGTACTACGGATTATCCATCCTGGAAATGTCCACATTCTTTTTGTTATTATTTAACGATGCTGGAGGACTCCCTGTAACCTGCATTGCTCACTTTTTAATTTTTCCAATGTTGAAAAGGGCTTTCCTTCTCCACTATTCCTTTTTTCTTTTACTAAAATTCACTTTCTAAGATAATGGCTTTTTCCATACTGCCCCATACTCAGACCAAACGTGGGGGTAAACTCCTGAGAAAGGAGACAGATGAGGAGACACCTTGAGGGTACTTTCTGTACCTGGAGCCAAATAATATTTACTTAGTTCTCTCATTTTGGCTGTGAACACATCTGAAGAGAATAAAAAGACATTTACTAGGCCTTTTGATACAAAACTCAGCCCCTGTGAAATTGACGCACCTTACATTTTCATTCCCCCACCCATGAATTTTATGTTTCACTGTTAATGATCCCAACTCGATGGAAATGACTTTTAGGAACTTGTGTTTCCTCGTTAGCTAGATATAATTTCTGGAAATTGATTTGCGTTTTCTAACTTGTAATATTAAAGTAAGCTGTTGAGGATAACTGACCATGTCCAGTGTTACCCTGAGTTTGGTGGCAAAAATAACTAAAGAACAAATGGATTCTGCTCAGATTACAATGACTGTTTCATTCTCCTTTTAGACCAGAAGTTATGTAGCCTGGTCTCCAAAATGATGCATAACTTTTCATCATCTTAACAAACTAATCTTGTTTATTCCTTAATAAATCTATATACCCTAAAGTTTCATAGGGAGAAAGAAAATGAGGAAGGAACAAGTAAATTTTAAGAATGTTTATTGGGTAAGAAGCTGAGACAAAACTGAGCCATGTCTTAAGGGATCTTTCTCATTTTCTTTGTATCTAACCTAAGATCTGATGTTAGTATCAAATTATTTCATCCATTTCCATCCTGTTTGCTCTTTGAGAGGGGGAAATCAATTCCAATTACACTTTACTATGATGGAAGATGTTTTCTCATGAAAAATGCCAATACAGATTTTTTAAAATCTATTCTTTTCCAAATGCACTTTCTAATTTTTTGCTTTTAAAATAGCTTCTTGGAACCAATTTTATTGTATTTGTACTTAATTTTTGTTCTCATCTAAATGTGCATTTTCTGACTGTATAGAAGAAGCTTTGTTATGTAATTTAATAATAAATTAAATATCTAAATGGTTGTGCCTACAGTTGTTTGTATTAGAACAATAACCACAGAGGCAGTTTGGGACTGGTGATTATGAAATCTTTGGTATTGACAAGTATTTTTCATGATGTCTTAAAGCCCATGATAAAACAAAAAAGGTGCTAACATACTATTACCCAGTGTTCAAAAATCATGTGGCCAGATATGGTGGTACACACCTGTAATCCTAGCAGCTCAGGAGGCTGAGGCAGGAGGATTGCAAGTTCAAAGCCAACCTCAGCAATTTAGCCCTAAGCAATTTGGGGAGGCTAAGGGGGTCTCAAAAAAGGGGGTGAGGAGGCTGGGGATGTGGCTCAGTGGTTAAGTACCCCTGGGTTCAATCCCTGGTACCAAAAAAAAAAAAAAAAATCATGAACAATCCACCAATTTTTCCCCCAGTACTCAGGGGTGCTATACCACTAATGACTGGAGTACAGGTGTGTGTTCCTAAGCCCCATAGACAATTTTTTTTAAGTGGCTTTAACTTGGACCAAATTTCCCACCCACCTGTTCATACCTGAATTATTCCTAGAGAGCACAGAGGCCAGGCCTGACTCAGAACAGTCACCACCTCAGTTGATGCCTTTCCTTTTAAGTGCAGTACTTCTGAAGGGCTGCCACTCCTTTTTTTATCTGTCTTTGGTACCAGGGTTTGAACCCAGGGGTGCTTAACCACTGAGCCACATCTTCAGCCCTTTATTTTTTATTTAGAGACGGGGTCTTACTAAGTTGCTTAGGGTCTCACTGAGTTGTTAAGGCTGGCTTTGAACTCATGATCCTCCTGCCTCAACCTTGCAAGCTGCTGAGATCACAAGCACGCGCTACTGTGCCCAGCACTCATCTGCCCTTTTCTTATAAAAGGCTCTGTGGCATTTCTGTCTGATACCAGAAATGCCTAGAAGTAAATGAACATGTGGCTGGAAAACTCGCTGAAGATGTTTCCCATTAGGACATTTTTTTCTTGTTTCTCTAAAGCAAAAGCCAGGAGAAAAATATTTTATTCCTTCTTTTTTTTTTTAATGCTTTTTAGTTGTTGATAGATGTTTATTTCATTTATTTATATGTGGTGCTGAGAATCGAACCCAGTGCCTCACACATGCCAGGTAAGTGTACTACCCCTGAGCCACAGCCCCAACCCTATTTTATTCCTTCTTGAAGATACAAATTTGCGTGGCTGAGTTGGAGCAGAAAAGAATACACTTTGCAAAGCCTGATGCTTTCTGTCAGCTCGCCTTAGCTAAGATTTCCCAGTTCAGCAGACTGCTTTGCTTGCAAAACTCTTGTACTATTAATCTTACAAAGATACTTAAAAGCTGAAAACACTGGGTGCTGAGAAGTCTAACTTCCTGCTTAGAGGAATACTAGCTATTACTTGAAGGTGTTCTTGCCCCCTGACAATGGTCTTTATTATTATCCTGATCTACAGTGTTCAGTGTCCCTCCTTTGAGAGAGAAAGCTTTTAAGAAGCAATCATTTAACTAGTCCATTTCTTTTAAAATTTTTTTAATATCTACTCTTTTATGGAAATTGGTTGCAGGAGGATCAAATAAATATAGTTACTTTTAATCCAATGCAAGGAACATGTAGTTTAAACAATCATTTCCCTGAAAGTGACAAGTTATCTCTGAATGTAGTACTTTGTGTTTTTCAACCTCGTCCTATTTCTCTCCCTGTCCCCCACTGCCTGTCCCACAAGATGAATCCTACGTAAATGGATTCTTCACTACCTGTGTTGCAGCCACTGTGAGTGGATACCCTGCCTCTCTAACCTCCCACCTGACATCACCCCCACACATAGTGAATTAACCTAACTTCCTAAATAACCTGTCATCACTGTACCAGTTATGGGTGGCTCCCTAATATCTAGGGCAGTGTGCTGTCAAAGAGTTAGCCAAAAAAATGTCTGCCTACCACTTTGTTTAATACAAAACACATGAAGTCCTCTTTGCCTACTGAAGTAGCTTTCTCCTTTTACAGATGAGGACACAAACCCTGTAACAGATGAAATGCTTGTTCAGAATCACAAGGTCCTTCTGATAGCAGTCGGCTGCCCTTGGCCTAACCATTTTCCCATCTATAAGCAGGGCTGCTTGGTGCACTGGAAAGAACAAGACTTACAGAGTTGGGCATCCTATATTCTAGTGCTGGATACTTTTAGGCCATGGGCAAGTTGCTAAACCATTCTGTTTTCCTATCTACAAAATGGACTCTAGCACCTTTATGCAGTTGTGGAAATCAAATCAAAAGATAATGATGGTACAGAATTACTCAGAATGTCCTCAAAGAATGATGGGCAGTGAGGGCTGGGGAAGTTTTCAATCAGACGTCAAATCCCTGAGAGCCAGGGATTTGACGTCACCTCTATATCATGTATAGGAATTAAATGACTATAGCTCTTTAGTCATTTAAATCTTATTCAGAGCCCCTACCCTACTGGGCTTGCAAAAAAAAAAAAAAAAAAGTCAACCTTGTTCATACTTGAATCTACTTCCCTTTGCCTCTTGGGTTGTGCAAAGCTCCCAAGAGTCTTTCACAGTCCCAGACTATTTGGAGCAGAACTCAGATTCACACTGGATCCCACAGACGCTCACTGAGCCATGCAGTCCTTTGAAATCTCCAGACCCTCCCATTCTCTGCCACCCTTGGACCTAGAGATCTTTTTCCCATCCCATAGCCATTTCCCCCAAGGTGCTGCCACCCACAGGGGCACTGGGAGGGCAAGGGCAGTCAGTACAATCGGGTGGCCTCTCCTCCCCACCACTTGCCATCTCACAGGAAGCTCAACATCTCCCTCATCTTCCCAC